AAGATGCCATATAATTCCTGGGTTTGCCTGACTAGGTTCTGGGAAGTTCCCCAAACTGTAGCTTATGCAAAGGCTCTTTATATCCTTTGTTAGCTCATCTGCTAACATGAACCAGGCCTGATTCAGATACATGTGTACACTTAAAAAGCCCTAGGCAACTAGTTAGCTTTTCTATATCAGATCATTTAACTGTTAGCCAGAAGTTTGTTACAGTCTGTTCAGGTTTGTTACAGGTATAGTATGTAAATAAAACTATTGGAGAATCTCTGCTTACATTTTAAATTTTATTAAAACATAGCTATTGCATTTTTAACTTTGACTAAATCAGCAGAAAATTATACCATCCATTATTGTTACCAAGATAACTAAAGGAGAGCACTAATTCCATAAAAGTTTCTTATCCCCTAAATAAGCAGGACACAGGCAAGGAGCTACTTCTGAGAAGAAGCTCTTGATCTGTTCAACTTCCCCTATTTATTAGATTTTAACATCCTCTCCTAACAGTAGGTGGCCCACTTGATTCAGGGCACACATTCTTGGTTAATGCGTTAGCTTGTAATTTCAAACATCACACAAGGTTATCTGTACTTGAAATGCCTTCTTAAAATATAAAAACTGTTAGTTCATTCTTGCCATTTTTTATCTTAAAGTCTATTCAAAAGCAGTGATCACAAGTTTCTCATACAAATGACTATATTTTGGGCCTCAGACAACATGTCCATCTTTGAATGGTATTTTCACTTCTGTGAAGTTGGACATTCCTGTCATTCTTAGACACTCTCTGCACCGGGACCTCAACAAATAGAATCCTAGAATCACAGAGTTGGAAGGGGCCATACAGACCTTCTAGTCCAACACTCTGCTCAATGCAGGATAACCCTAGAGCATCCCTGACAAGCATTTGTCCAGATGCTGCTTAAAGACCACCAGTGAGGGGAACTCACCATCTCCCTAGGCAGCTGATTTCACTGTTGCACAACTCGTAGTGTAGAAAAGTTTTTCCTAATATCCAGCTGGTACCTTCCCACCCTTAATTTAAACCCATTATTGTGGGTCCTATCCTCTGCTGCCAATACTATCTATTGAGAATGGGTTAGATGTATTCTAACCTACATAGGGCTATATAACCATGTTACTACTTTGTTTCTTGTCCCTCTCCAAGGCTATTCTATTCTGGGTCTCTAAGCTCCCTTTCTGGCATACTTTAATTGGGAGGCAGGCTAGCTTTGTTTTTGTGCACAGAGACATTTTCTGTATTTAGAGGGAAGGTTGTTTGTTTTTTGTTTGTTTTGTTTTCAGTCAAGCCTAGCAATTATATTTCTTGCTATATCCATGATAATTAGCTTTATTTGATTTGTGGTGAGGCTAAAACTTTACTCTCCCCAGGTTCCATGTTTACAGCATGAGCTTCAGCAATGAAACTCACATCATTAATTTGTGGTTGGTTAAAACTATTGGAGTAGTTGCTGGAGTAGCTGAGCTCACCATTCCCATGGCCATCAAGAAAAAATGCTGCAAGTTGTATTCATAAAATGGAAAGACAAGGTTACTCAGATGCCAGAATGTGACAGTAATCATTAATTTGCCTTTCACAAGGCATGACAATGAAACTTTGTGATTTGAGAAAAATAGAACCAATGACGCTTAGGAAAATTCTTTATGTTCATTTCTCCTTGGATTTGTTAATATACATTCATTCTGGCTGACAAATTCTGTTTATACTTTTCACTCACTCATATAAATCATATAGATATAAATCCACACTCATATCTTCTTTAGCTTTAATGTAAAAGATAATGGCTTTTTGTGGTGTAAACCAATGTCCATTATTAGTAGCAGCAAAGATTCAGATCAATAATACTCTCTTTTAGTGCTACCCATTAACTGAATAACTAGCCTAGGTTTGGCATTTTTCAGCTACCATTCTGGCAATATTGTAATCAAACGCTCTGCTGTTACGGATGTCATGGAAGGAAATGTCCAAGGGAATGAAGAGGCTATAGGGATGCATGTGAGCATATTTGAAGCTGCCTTATACTGAATCAGAACATTGGTCTATCAGAGTCAGTACTGTCTATGAAATTGAGCCAACTTCAGAGGACGGCGGAAGACCGGAAGGCCTGGTGGGAGCGGGTCCATAGGGTCGCGAAGAGTCGGACTCGACTGCGACTGAACAACAACAACAACAACACTGTCTATTCCGACTGACAGTGGTTTTCTCATGCAGAGGTCTTTCATATCACCTCCTACCTGATTCTTTTAACTGGACATGCTGGGAACTGAACCTCAGACCTGCATGGCCTTCCCATTCCTCAGGTTGTGCTAGGTAGTGATGAAAGGATTTAATCACATCGGTTTATATGTGTTTTGGACCTCTAAATATGTTTTAAATGCATATGTGTGAGGTGAATATCCATGAGCCTACTCTTGCGGAGAGAGTGGGGTATAAATTAAATAAATAAAAATAAATAAATCACTGTTTAATTGTCTCTTCTGTTTCTCCTTCCCCAAGATTCTGAATGTTATGGTTACCTGGTTGCAGAGTGACCCATTTAAGCTTCTGTCCACTAGTTCTTTCCAGACCAATAGGCTCCTGTATAGCAATTTGAAGCAACAGAGGTTAATATTCACTTGGGTATATAAATAAAACTTAAAAGCCATATTTTAACATCCACGATTCTGTCTTTAGCTAGGAAAAATATTATGCCTCTGTTTTGTTTCAGTGTTGTTCATAGTCATCATCCGCAAAAATAGCACTGTTTTATTTGGAACCCAAATAACTGCAGTGTTGATTTGATAAATTATGTTATACAAAAGTGCTAATGACCTTT